ATTGAAGAACTGCACTTCCCCCTTTTACACCCCTTGAGACCAGCATGCGTTTACAATCATGGCAATTCTATAGCAATTTTAGTCCTTTTGTTTTCTTTTCTTCTGTGTGATACTCACTTTGAATACAAAAAAGCAAAGAAGCAATCAACAGATGAAGAAGGTCTGATCTGTAGCACTTCTTTTAGTAAGATATTCACTTTGAACTTTGAACTGCTTGTGCTTCTTTCTCAAAGAAAATAAAAGAGGAACTCCCAAGATTATGGCTTGTGGTTCCTGGTCATAATGGAATTATTATTATTTTTGTTATCCTACTTCTTTTCAAAAATTTTCCATTGCCAGATGGCTACTTGTCTTACATGGAAATCCTTAAAATCCAATCTTTTAAGAACTAGGCCAGATATATATATATATATAGAGCCTAGAAGGTGTCTGGTTCAATACAATAGAATAGTGGCCCATCCTTGAGTCGAATTAGTTCAATTTTGTAGCCTAAGAACGGCCTTTTTGTTATAAAAAACGCCGAATGTTAAAACTACTGTCTCAAGTCTACCCCTCCCAAGACCCCAGATGGTAGGGACCAACATTGGATAATGGCCTTTACATAGCTTCATAATGTAATAAGAAAAGGCATTTTATGGTTGAAGGGTCAAGGGGTGGCTGAGATGGGGCAAATTGCTTTTAATGGCATATCTCTTTCTGTATGTGTCATTCTGCTCAGCTCCTTTCATTTCCTACTCAAGGTCGTTGCATGTTAGAAAATAATTATAGCTAAAGAGTTTTCATGGCCAAACTATTTTTGTTTGTTTTGATCATGAGCAAGATAAAATTTTTATTAAAAAAATAGTTCATCCAAACATGTAGGTCTGTAGCTCCATTACGTTTCCCCTTTTCATCTTCCTCACGTTAGATGTCTCATTATTTTGCTTTCCTTGTCGTAATAAACTTTTTAGAGTCATTGGTTGTCCATGACTCCATGTTGGGGCCTCTTGATAACAGCTGAATTCAGCTGAGCCGAATGGCTTATTGTTTTCAGTCATCTCTCTTTCTCTCTCTATCTCTAATAAATAGTGAAGAAGTAAATTCATTTTGTTACAGCCTAGCTATCAACCCATTAAATTAAAGGTTTGAATCAAGTGGGTTTTAGCTTAAGAACAAAAGGACAAGGTTGGCTTTCCTGTTGAGCAGGACTCCACACAGCCCTAAACAAACAATTTTTTTTTTTTTTTTTTTTAAATTGAGAATTCAAATTGTGATTTTGGCCCAAGTAACCCCCCCGGATTAAACTATCCAGGCCAATGAGTCGGTGCCGTATTTGGAAGCATGTGTCCATTAATATATTCTTTAATTTGTTAATGGAATTGTTGTTGACTTAATGCCCGGCCAGTGTTTTCATAAATGATCTAACCAATGAAGCTGACCATATATTCTTCTTTTTTGCTGGAAGGGTCGACAATGGAACATTACCTAATGCTGTATAATTAAAGCTTTGATTTATTCCTCTTTGAATCTACATGTGATGCTGATACTGAAACTTAACGCTCAAGCTGATGATCAAACAATAATAATAACCGACAACTTGTATTATTTGTCTCTGGCCATGACTAGCTTATATATATATATATATAAAATATTAACAGTTTTTAGTTCATAAGTTGGGTAGTGTGGATCATCTGATCAGCTTTAAAGCAATTGATGTGAGAGGAAAAAGAGTGTAGATCTTATTAGGGTTTATATGGAGGAGGTGGGCATTTTATTATGTTATTATAAGGTCACGACATTAGTGTCCAGACATAAAGAGATTGTAAGCATTTTATTACATGTCATATCAATATAAACTATGTTTTATATGAACTCCTGACAGCCTAGTGCTGTTATATGAATGAGAGAGAGAAATTAAATTAACAGGTTAGACGGTAAGATGCCCCCCACTAAGCAACATTATGATATTCAAAGAAGAAATATAATAGTAAAATAAGCATCAAGTGGAAATAAGTACTCTCTCTCTACAAAGAAATTGAAAGGGTAGTCAAGGCTCAGTTTGGAAGCAGTATAGATGCAAATATGTATAGTATAAATACATACAAATTAAATATAAGGTTTTGCATTCTACATATTCGCATTTGTACTTCTTCCAAACTCAGTTTAAGATTCAAAGTATCGATACAATATCTCATATTAAGTGTATTACATCGTATTTGGAACATCGTTATGCTCAAACCAAGGGGTTTTAAGTTATTTCAGGGGATAGTCAGGCCTAAAATCATTCTCTTGTCATATTTTGGAAAAAAGAAACTGAAAATAAAGGGAATGAATCCCCAAAGATACACAATTCACATTGGTTCCCCCACAGAGTATGCCCTAGAAGTGCCTCACAGTATATCTCAATCATGTATTGGGAATATTTCTCCATGACATATATTTCTCCTACAAGTGCCTCACAGAATATTTCTCCATGACATATATGAAAGATGTTCTTAATGCAAGGTGAGATGTACGTATCGATTTAAACTCTAAACTACCTAATATACATGTTTGTATGTATCATCGACGATACTTAGAAGCAGACAGTAAGTCATTCCAAAACGTTCCCCAATTCCACAGGACAAGCTTAAATGTCATGATATGGAATAGTGCTTTGCTGTGAATTCTTTTTAAGCGAAGCCCGCGCAGTGAGCATCACTCAGCGCTGGTGCCTCCGTCATGCTGGGGACACCCCCTCTTCAAGTCTCAACTCTACTAACTGATGGCCCTTTCTCCCTCCCACCGCCTAAACAAGAGGAGAGAAGTCTATTTTTCCATTTCCATGTTAAAGCAGATGGTGATGATGGTGGATCTCTATTGTCTATCAACAGTCGGCATCATTAGATGACCACATGATGGAAATGGACCCACCCAATCTTTATTCTGAGCCACTCAGCTCTTCTTCCCTCCCTCTCACTGTCAAAAAAAAAAAAAAAGGCAGTTCTGCGTCTGCATCTGTATACGATCAGAGGGTCATGATTGTTCTGATACAGATTAGGGTTTCTCAAGGGGGGTCCACAAAGTGGTGTGGGTCATGATTGATAAAGCAATCCGTGTGTTCCACTTGTTCTGGTAGTGCAGTGCTCATATTATCAAAAATCACTTGTCTAATTATCTTGGGTTGGGTAATCATGATTTATTTGAGAGTTGATACATGAAATAAATATTAATGGGGTGGAGAGCGAGATCTTTGTTCCAACTTCTTTTAGGGTGCGATGCAGTCAGTCTTTGAAGGGTACGGCTGGCGTGAACTTGATTCTTTGGTCCCCCCTCTTCTTTTCTTCTTTTCTTTTTTTCTTTTTTTTTTTTCTCCTCTCTCGATCAGTTGATCTCTCTATTCCACGTACACATTCTCAGTCTCAGTCTCCTGTTCACATCTACGGTCCTTCCCATAACGTGCGTGTTGATGATGGGATCTGCTCCTTATAATAGGCGCCTCACAAACACATCTACCGTGCATTTGACAATATTTCTTGTGAACTATATAACTCGTAAGTACGGGAGATATTTCTAATGCATGATAAAATATACGTGTGAGGCGCCAACTGGGAAGAACAGATCCGGTCTCGCGTGTTGGGTTGGGCAGTTAGGCTTCCTTCCTTACTCTGCTCGAGAGAACGGAATCTCGTGACCCGTAGTGGAGAGGTGGGGAGGGCTGGGGAAGGGCCCACTTCCGCCTCTGTATTTGACCGACACCTTCCCATAACAAGGACCAAGGCCCAGCTTTCCTTTCTCATGTTTATGCTCCCAATTTCTAGTACAAATTAGATCTTTAACAAATTTCTCTGAAAATCTGTTAGTACTTCATCATCTAGAGAGATGATGATTCAGGCCTCAGGGCATAGAGCATGTACCCTCTCTCAGAACCAAAAACTTCTGGGCCCATCATTATTCACTGGTTCCCACCCACCACAGCCACTAACACTGCATAAAAACTCCAAGTCCAAGATCAGGTGGTTACAATACATGCAGTAGGACCCATTAGCAATCAGATTGGGTTTGGGCTCCGAGATGAAATGGGTCCCAATTCCCAAACCCAATGAGGATGCAATATTGCATGGTAAGTTGGTAACTCACAAACTCTTGCTTCCAAGTTCCAAATCTTCCTCTTTCAGTTCAGTCCCACAGCCCACATATGATGCGCATTAATAAGGAAAACCCACAATCATCCATTAAATTTGAGTGAGATGGATAAATTATAAAGAAAAAAAGCCCATTAGAATTGGGTAGGAGGAATAATTATGGGATGTAGGTAGGAGAAGAAGATCCCTCGGGACACTACAAAATCCGTTTGTTCCCCAATCCATATTTGCTTTTTCTTTCTTTTTCTCGGAGCTGAGCTGCCCACCACATGGGGTCTGGCGTTTATGTGCCATTCCAAAGCTCTCTCTCTCTCTCTGACACTCTTAACGGTTTTTCAAACCCAAACGGAGAACTGCAGGAGAAGTAGTATAAAGAAGAAAGAAGGATCGACACCTCGCGCATAAAGCGTGGATTTTCTCTCTTTGAGGGGCCTGAATGAGATAACGAGTACGCCCACATGGTCCCTCTTGTCCCTTTCTTTTTGGACTTAGCCACTGTGTACTTTGTTTGGGTCGGGTAACATCCAACCCGGGTCGGATATATATTAACAAACAAAACAACCCAACTGCCATCTTGACAAATCGGACAGGCCCATTAGAATTATAGTCATTCGGGTCTAGTACTAAAGCTAAAACCCCAATATGCACAATCTTGTGACTGTATAGTGTAAGGTTCGTTGCTGCAGCTAGCGCCAGAGAGTTGGCTTAAATTTTTTTTTTTTTTTTAAAAAAAAGGTTAAAGGAGGATGTGGGGATTTGTTGTCTTACAGCCTCGAATGTTGGTCTGTCTATAGGGATACCCTCTCTCTCTAACAAATATTAATAATAATAACAATCAAAGTGCAAAGGAATGTTACATTGGTACGTAGTGATTTGGATTTTGGAGTGTGTGATGTTCTTCCTTGTTGGACCGGGTAGGAAATGGGATTCATCTGCTAATATTCTCCTTGTGTTCTTTTCTAGTTCTGGGTTGCTGATCCAGTTCTATTTTTCTTTCTTTATATATATAATACTAACCAGACTCTAATTTACTATTTTTTCCACTTTAGAACCTTGGTTATCGTACTTGTTCTGGCTCGTAATCTGGTTTTGAACCGGATTCATCACGTGAAAATTTCAAAAAATTGTTAATAATTTATTTCCTTCTTACTCCTCTTTTTATCCTTTATCACTCTCGCCCCTTCTTTCCCATTTCAACCTGTCCACAAGCTCTCACGTCGCCACCTGATCTTTGTCCTTTTTTAATCTCTATTTCAGCGATTCTTTTGAGTGGAGATATGTTGGGTTCTTGTGAGAAGCTGGTCATCTCTTCTAACTCGAACGAATGGCCACAGGTCTCCCTCTCTCTCATATACACACACAAACACGCACAAGAGTCTCAATTATTTTGTACATAAAATGACTGTTTTTGTTTCTTAGCTCTTGGACGAGAATATTTGTTTTGGGTCGTTATTTACTCTTGAAACCACCTTGTAATCCTTCTTTTTTTTCCTTCGTTTTTTTTTCTTTCTGGTGTGGTGCAGAAAGCAGATGAGACGGGATTGATGGCTTCAAGTGGAAGGATCATGGAGAAACCTGCCCCAGAGCAGGCCCTCAAGTGTCCTCGTTGTGATTCCTCCAACACCAAATTCTGTTACTATAACAACTACAGCTTATCTCAGCCTAGGCATTTCTGCAAAGCCTGTAAGCGTTACTGGACCAGAGGTGGAACGTTGCGTAACGTTCCGGTCGGCGGAGGGTGCCGGAAGAACAAGAGGGTGAAGAGGTCCTCAACATCTACTGATGCTTCTTCTTCTTCTTCTTCTCAGCCTACCAGAACGCAACCATCACCGCCACCACCTCCCCCTCCTCGGATCGATGTGTCTACGGCTTCCAACCACATTAGTTCTTTGTTTTACGGCCTACCCACCACTCCTTCTGACATTAATCTTCCATTTCCGAGCTTCCACTCAAGAGTTTCTAACGTGGACACTTCATGTACTGGCTACAATCTCCAGCCTCAATTGAATGCTCTCGGACTGGGCTTCTCGTCGACCACTTTGACTAGTGGGGATGCCCACGGAGACGAATACCGAACTGGGTTTAATCCTAGCACTCAAATCCAAGATGTTGTTACTTCGAATTCTCTTCTCTCGAACTACTCATCACTCCTTGGATCTTCATCTTCTACATCAACCGCTTCTCTACTAGCTTCTAGCCTTCAGCAGCAAAGACTCATCTTGGGTAGTCTGAATCTGAAGGAGAGGCGATCGGCAAATAGCTTTCAGGCCTTGTTACCCTTTGAAGACCTACAGGTGGCCGGGAACGGCGATCCTGGGATGGTAGTGAAAGAAGTGAAGAAGGAAGAAGTGAACGGAAGAATGAGCAGCAACGTGGATTGGAATGTCCCTTGCCAGAATCCAGTAGAAGCAGTTGGATCAACCGATCCATCTCTCTATTGGAACTCGACAACTGTTGGTGCTTGGCCTGATCTCAACAATTTTGGGTCTTCAGTCACCTCTTTGATTTGATCATCAGGGCCAAAAGAAAAACAATATGATCATCATCTATCATTCATGAATCATGACTTCCTCTCTCTCTTTTTAAATCCTATTGGTCTTTTTATTTAGTTAGGTTTTCTGTGGGTTAATTTCTTCTTGTAGTGAACTTCATGCCAACAGCATGGAATGGTGGAAATTCAGAAACAAGGAATTTGGAATGAAGCCTACAACGGGAGGAGATCAGATCGGAGCGATCATGTCAGTTGCAAACACCACAGCCTGTTCTTTTAGTCTTCAAGGTTGACATAAACTGTTTGCTCTGAGAGGAACCTCGGATCATCTTCCTCTCATCGTCTCTGAATCATCGTCATCATCAATTAAAGTGCTTAAGGGTTTCCTTGGGGGAAGGATCCTTGAGAAAAAAAAAAAAAAAAAGAAAAGGTGCATTTCCTGTATGTATATAAGCATGACATTGCATTTCTTTCTAATGTATATGTCATTAGGTGGTGGGGCAAAAGGGGGTTAATGGATATACATGTTGCAGTCCTCAAGGAAGAACTAATAAGTTCTCTCTCTCTCTCTCTCTCCCTCCTAATTCTTTTTCTTTCTTCCTTATTGTTTTGGTTCATGGGAAAGGATTGGGTATAGTACTATAGAAGAGAGGAAGATTTGTTAATGCAATGTGGAGTAGTCAATGTGGTTGGACAATGTTACATGTTGTTAATTAACTTTGGTTGGTTTCCTGATAGTGTTGATAAAAGCTGTGGTTTTGCGGTACATGAGACTTTACTCAAACTATGTATTAGTGCAAATGCATTATATATCTACGATATTGTGAAATCACATAAGCATACATGGATGCATGTATATATCTACGATATTGTGAAAAACGAGCTCAAGATATCACTCACCCAAGTAAGCTGGCTGTAATTAGAGTACGTGGGCTTTCGCTGAGAAATTTTAGTCTTTAATTAGTAGAACAGAAATTATTTTGCACTTTATTCATAGAATTTGCTTAGCACTCGTAGCTTCTTTACTTTCTATACCTAACAAACCACTGGAAGCAGTTGAAAATTTGCCCAAACCTAAAGAACATGATCATGAGTTATGTCATGGTTTCTGCAGCTCTAAAGCATGAATACTCTGCTGGGGAATTAATTCCATTTGATCCATTGTTGATTGAAGGCAAAGTTTATGCATTCTGTTGGCAAGTTCTCTTTGTTCCGGGTATGTTGCAGACCCACACCATCTCATCAATGTCCTCGATCGGAAGGCAATGTATCTATCGACGACGCATGTGCATATGCCCTTGTGTTGTGCTGCTGGTCCCAACTCCCAAACCAAGTTCCCGAAGTAAGCTGCCAGTTTGAGCTGCAAGCTAAGAGACCAAAGTTAGAGAGGGCTTGCAATGGGTCGGCAGGTTATTGGCTGGTCAAACCGTCTGGGTCAGGTTGGGAAGTACTCAATTAAATCATGTTGAAAACCGGGTGGTGGGGTTGCAAATTATATCCAACCATCTGTTTGGGGTTGAACTAGCACAATTAAACCTTTCAAAGTTAAAAGAGAAAAAGAGCTCTCTGAGGTTGAGAGAATGCCATTATGTCCACCCACCACCAGAACTAATGTAAAAGAGGAGTCTGGATTAGCTGCACTACTTGATATATGGCTCATAGGTGTGCTAGGGGCTGTTTGGCCAATAATATTAATAACGCCCCACATCAGCCATCTATCTAATGTATATGCCCCCCCCCCNCATAAACGGATAAACCATAATCACTGGCCAATATCTCACTTTGCATGCATGACGACTGACGTGGGGCATTATTATTGGTTAAACAAACAGCCCCCTAATAACAAAAGCCATCAAGTAGCGTAGCTAATCAGGGCTCCTAAGAGGCGGTATATGAAATATGATCAGGAGAGTAGAAAGAGTACCTCTCTACATGGAAAAGTGTATAAACAGGATAATCCATTAAGGAGAGAAAGGTGGATTTGGTTGCCAAGTACAATAAGGCAAGAATAAATAATAGAGTTCTTATTGTCTGTGGGATGGTCTCCTTTTCTACGTGACAACTTTAGAGAGAAGTCACATATACTGACATATCATGAGTAGCATGCCAAATTTCACTTGTATTCATCATCTTCATCTTCATCATCATGCATTAGCCAACTCTCTTCCTTGAACGATCAAACTAAAATTACTTCTCTTTTCCTTGATAAGATATTGCGTGGGGCAAGCCTAATCCAGAAGAACTTTATTTCTTTATCATGTCTCTTGGCAGACAACTCAGGAACACGCATGCACCTGCTAATTACCGGTGATCGATAACTACGGGCTGAGGCCTTTCAAAACTCATCTCACAACTCAGTATGTATTTAGGTTTGTGTGTTGTCGTGTGCTTTCCAAAATTTGGAGAAGAAGACAGAGGCTGTTGATGAGTGGGGAGTGATGAAGATCGAATTTGAAAAGACTAGTACACGTAATGACTAATTCATTAGCCTATTAGGTGTGGTGCATGCTTCTTTAATTTTTTCTAATAAAACATAAATTAAACGTCACGAGATAACTTCCAAAAACAAGTTTGTAATGTGATATTTGAAAGGTTTCATTTGACCTTTTATCTAGGACCTCCGATCCCATTGCTTGTCCCTACAAGCTGTGGTTGCGGCATTGATTTCTGGAGCTCGTCCTATTTAGTTACGTTGATGGTGGTAATGATGAATTAAAAGAAGAATTCACACAACCTTACAAGTCGATACATTATTACACCCTGTTCATCACCCCTAACTATTTCTATGATAAAAAGTCTTACATACATATATACAATAATGCATAATGCATGCATACATACATACATACAATAATGCATGTGTGCATATATATGAAATGGGGGTTAGGCTTTTACATCCACCACATATCTCAATAAAAATTTTCATTTGGGTTCTTCCCCACAAATGTGGGGTTAGATGATGAAATGGGCCACATGCGTATATAGGAGGAATTCAAGGCACAATTCAACAAAAGAAGGAATAAGACCCATCCATTGGTATAAGCCTATCATTTGGATTACAATGGCTATATAGATATTTATTTCTAATTTAAACTAACAAAATTTGATCAATTTCAATTGTGTGAAGATTGCAAAAATAACTTTTCTCATAAGAGAACCCTCCAGCTTCTATTTCAATATTAAAATTAATCTATTAAAAGTACACCTCCCTGAATAAAATATCAAACAAATGTGCCACTAAAAGTTTAGCACAAGGATATGCTTGATGGGTTTTTGAAGTGCAATTTGAAAATTCAAATGCATGAAAAATAAGCACTATAGTATTTTCTCTAAATACTTCTTACAAGAAAAATCTAAGGATTTGACCGACCAAATAAAAACCCAGTGGATTTTGATGAAAACCCACCTGATTGATTACCACCGAGGTTAAAAAATTGTGGTCAAAAGAATTTCATCGATTCGTATTAAGTAAGTTTTATTTTGTTATACTAGCCACCCTCTAATAACTAATAATTATGGTCAAAAGAAGATTAACTATTGGTAGGAATTAGCCGCTTTCAGATTCAAATCCACATTCTCACGCTTGTTAGCTCGAGATTCTACCATCGCACTCCTACCCTTTATCTCTATTTTAGCTAGTTCCTTATTCCTTTCAATCCCATCCTTTTCTGCACCCCAGTACAACGCATTGACAACTAAAAAAATTTGTTCAACCTTACTGTACAAACTGTGCTAAACCTAGCTCCCTCTTCAAAACCCAGTTCTTCTAATGAGAAATCATAGTCTCAATGGGTGTTTTTGTTTGGGCCTTATTATCACCAGAGAGCCGTAGGCGATATGATGATGATCATCAAGACTGAGTGCAGGGTTGGGAGTCAAACGAAAAAACCCATTTAGACCAACTGATGATCTCTTTCATTTTCATCCTCAAAACATCCTAATCACTCGTACGATTGAACAGAAACATAATAAGACCAAACTCTTTAATTAAAACCAAATTTATAACCCAGAAAGAGACCCTTCCTTAGGAACCATAAAAATTAAGTTCTGATTGTAAGGCAATATACTTACTTAATACTTCCCAATTGAAACCATTATATATATGGGGCGGGAATCTGTAAAATTTGAAATTATAAAACAGAACCCATCACCAACTTTGAAGAGATGGGCCGACCCATCAGCTGGGTTAGGCTTGATAGCTTTTCTAACTCTAAGCCCAAGTCCAACCCATTAACAGCCGTGAGCATATATATATATATATATATATGGGTATAGAACAGCAGCAGTACAGTACTGGAGTAAGCATCATCCAGAGAATTTGACATAACATTCCACACACGCAACCCCTTTGATCCCTTCTCCCTTAGAAAAATATTTTGAAACGTTAATTATTGGTAATCGTATTCTAACCACTCAATACGATTCAAATTTCAAAAGAGAAGCCTCATGGAATGAGTCTGAAGAAAGCAAGTCACAATGGAACAAGACAAGTAACTAATATGAACAAAAAAGATGAACAAAAAGCTTACGCGCCATTGATTAAACAAGTAGCCACTGGTGATATCTCAGAGCCACTCCATTCATTTAGAATAACAAATACAAAGCAAGTAGCTGTAACGGTCTTGCCTAGAAATCCAATAAAAAAAAAGAGGTAAAGCATAGGTCAACTGTGCTGCTTTCTTTTCAATCCTACCTATCAATAAAGTAAGACCCAGATATTAGAATAATATGAAGAGAATTTCCTGCGATAGTATCTCAGAGATAGCATGAGGTCATCTTCCATTTATGTTTTAAATTTGAATACGCCAGGGACGATGACGGCTTCCGTCGTTGTTCTCCTGTGATCACACAAGTGCTCCACTAACAAATACGCGAAATTTCTGCTCTGGGTTCCTGTTTTCCTGCCACGAAACTTCTTTGAAACCAGGGCTAGCTCTCATCAAAGCTTGGTTCACGTAGTAGATGGTGAGGCAGTTGCAGCGAGTGTCACGCTGTAGACATCGATGATATCTGAAAAACCAAACCCATCGACTGGAGCTGAGGAGTTGGAGTTGGTGTTGTCCAATCACGTTCGACAGGTTAAGCAGTGTAAAGTCTAAACCCAGGTTAGGTCAGTGGCGTTGTCGGGAAGAACATACAACATAGAAAAAGAAGAAAAAAAAAGGTGCTCTAGACCTAAACTACTCATTGAACTACGACTTGTAATTGAAGCTATATAAAAAGAAACCAACCTATAATTCTGCCTAGAGGTTCTACATTGCCAGGTGGACATGTACTGTCAAATTATAAATGCCACGTGGCAAGTTTTTTATTAGAGAATAAATTTAACCGAGAAGTAGGGATACACCCGATGCAGAATTCTGAATTCCAGCCCACTTTTAAAGCACTGGCACTACTTTTATCCTCCAAATTACCAAATATGCTTCAGTGGGAAATATGACAAGATTGTGGCCACATCGCCAATAAGGTATTGGCTATGAGAGCTTGGTACTTAAGAGTTTAGATACAGGCACTTTCTGGGTAGGCTTAGTTGGATAAACTTTTGGAACAGAGCTCTGAATAATCGGATAATTCTGGTTCTTCAACAAGCCATAGCGTGGGTGCATGTTAGACAGATGTTAAATTCATAACCAAGCAAACCCCTTCAATCACAACTCATTAGAGAGATGCCATGCCACTCAGGGAGAAATTAAAGTTTTTCTTTTTTTTTTCAAACGTCAAAAGATTGAATCTACTTTACAAATTAATGGAGTTTTATATATATAC